AGCAACAATATGAGAATGTTTAGTAAATAATTTGAAAAGAACTGGACAATGATATTGTCCTTCTGCATTTTTACAAAAGTTTAACTTTATTAAGGTCTTTGGATCTAAAGGTTTTCCTGTGACAGGATTATGTTTGAATCTTTTTATATAATCCAGTATTGCTTCTAATTCAAAGATATTCCCTTCAGGATCGCAGTAAGGATGTTGAAACGGTTGTAAGGATAAACAGCAATGATCATATGGTAAACGACGAAATGTTGTATCTTCATTTTCTTCAGATGTTCCTGCCTTTTTCCCACCATATAATGTGGACCATTCTGTATATGTTAAATACCTACAAGAATCAAAAAGATATGTTGATAAAATGATATAAAAAAAGGCAGAACGTTTTTGATAGTTCACTATGAAATTTGTTTATATCTTACATTTTATCCTTTTGATGTTGACGTTTACCCATTTTGACTCTTTTATGTAATACCCCTTATTAATTTCTTTTGAATAAAATAGTCACATATACGGGAATTACGATTCGGATTTCAACGCTTTACTGAGGATTGTACAGTGTGCACTGTACACAAAGGCAAACTCCTATTATCTTGCAATACTGTAGAAATCTAGGGTAATTATTATTTTCAGTGATTAGCAGTGCAAAGAAACTAGATTTATCTTTCAATGTCGCCAACGCGAAGCAATCAAATGTACTATATTGTTTAATACGTAAACAAAAGCAGAAATTATTTTATAAAAGCTTACAAAAATGTCTAAAATATTGAGAAAGGGCCAAATGGCAATGAAAGCAGCAAAAGTAGATCATTCTTCAAAATTGCGAGTGATTATTCCTGCAGGAATGGCATCCGCCAAACCACCTCTTGGATCACAACTTGGACAGGTTAAAAAAACCTTTACTTTTAAATAAAATGATATAAACTTCATGTATAAAGAAATTTAATTTCCTGTATAATTAATAAATGAATATTTTCTTTTACAGAGAAATATAAATGTAGTAAACTTTTGTAAAGAGTTTAACCAACGGACAGAAAACATTAAGCAAGGTATACCTCTTCCATGTCGAGTGAAAGTAAAAGAGAACAATACTTTCGATTTAGTTATACATAATCCTCCAGCTACATATTTTTTGAAACATGCTGCTGGAATAGAAAAGGGAAGAATGTGTAAAGGTATAAAGAATTGTATGAATAATGTAAACAAATTGATACCATTGAATATTTTATATGAGTATAAACATATTTCAGGCGAAATAGCTGGTAAAATAACATTTAAACATTTATATGAAATTGCACGTATTAAAGCAACTGATCCACCCTTAGCATTAATGACTTTACAACAAATTTGTCAAATGCTTGTTGGTATAGCACGTAGTTGTGGCATTGAAGTTGTACGTTCATTAGATCCTGTAGAATATGAAGAATTTATGAAGCAACGAGAAGAGAATGTAAGGCTTCGAAAAGAAGAAGCTGAATTATCTAAACAAACTAAATTACTTAGGACAGTATAATTAGGGCTTAATATATTAAACTAATAAAAATCTTAAGTCAATAAATATACAATGATCTATAGTTACATATTATCAAAATATGTTGTATATATTATTTTACCTTCATTCATGCATCATTTAAAATCATTTTATGGTTGCCAGTGGTTAAGTAATATT